TGTCCAAAAGTAGATTTGAAATTACTGATAGTAACTTTGTCTAGTATTATGACTATGTATTTTATTGATTTCTATGAAATTTAAGTTTGAATTTTTTTATTTATTCGTTATTGAATGTTGAATGAATGAAACAAAAATTTTTTTATTTGTATAGGGTGTTTAAATCTAATAAATTTTTTGGTTTAGGTATACAAATTCACTGTTGGTTCTATGTACGGCAATTTATATATGCATTTAATAGTTTTATTTTGTAAAGATTTCCAACAAAATTGTCAGTACTGCATAGTTAAGTGGTAGCTTTTTCCAGAGAAACAGGTACGATAACTTTGAACAAATGAATGTTTGGAGCCAATTTTTATCTTTCCATTTTTAATAACATATTGTGCAACAAGAAAATGATGAGTACAAACGACCATACAGTAAAATTTGAAATAACTAGACACTTATTATAAATATATTTTCATGTTTGTTTCATCTTTACCATATTCTGCATTTCTTCTCTGGGTTCATGAAACTTCCTACGGAACAGTTGAATACTCTGGAAAAATCTTCCGAATTCTGCAAGCTCGCCAGTAATCTTACAGAAAATGGAGCGTAATTGCCCTCTGTCAAAGACATTTCCAATGCCGTTTTCGTGGTTGTCTTGCACCACGTCTGAAAAAGGATTTGATCTCAGGAAATGATATATCAGAATTGGAGTAGTTTACAATATACTGCGAGTATTGAACTTGGTGAAGTGAATACAAATTGAATGTTGAGGTGAAATCAGTTTGTCACCGATTTTGATAGAACTTTTTTCTGCTGCTTGATATACAGTGTGTCTCACTTCTCATGAAAACACACCCGTATCTTCCGAAATAATTGAGGTAGAATGATGAAACTCTTAGGACTGATGGAATTGCTTAAAATGCACATACTATCTAAATGAGGCTCGCCACTGATGATGGAACAACCCATTTTTACGGAAAACCTTCTAGGGGGCAAAAAGGCTCAACATTTCTTCAGATTCGTGATCAGGACTACGAACTTACTACAAATACACTTTTTTCCTGAAAAGAATTAAGTGCTGAATAATCCCAATTTGTTTCACTTCTCATGGAAACGCCCCTGTATCTTCCGTATTAATCGAGGTAGAATAACGAAACTGTCGGGGCTGATGGAAATGCTCAATATGCACATACCACCTAAATGGAGTTGGTCAAACTGACATACACTGCCCGCCACTCGCGATGGAACAACCCATTTTTATTATTCAATAAATTGATGGATGTAGCCGTTACTACGTGGTAGGAAATCATAATGAAGAAAAGAGAATTGAAACTTTCTATGTTGTTTACCACTTTTATTTGTAACTAACGTTACTGCAGTGGTAAAAACATAGAAAGTTTCAATTTACTTTTCTTCAATTTTTATTCCTTTTAGCAAAGTCAATAAGAGCGAAAATGTTAATTTTGTAAGGGAATGTGGTAAAAAACATAGAACATTTCATTTCTCTTTTTTTCATTATGATTTTCTACCACGTAGTAACTGCTACATCCATCAATATATTGAATGGAAATATGATATCAGTGGGGTTTTAGAATGGTTAATGTTGATTCAAATTCTCATCTTTCCATTATTTTCAAAAAACCATGTGTTTTTTGTGGCGAAAAATTTCATATAGTTCAAAACTCTTTAGAAGTAGTAATTTCAAAATCAAGTTTTCAATTAAAAACAAAACAGTCAATTTCATTTGTTTTAGCTGTTGACAATTTTATATTTTTGTGTCTTCGATCAAGATTCCCTCCAAGGCAACACATTTTTCTATACGCCTTCTATTATTTCCTCCAACTCTTCTCAGTTCTTCAGGTGTGATTTCTCTACAAGCTCGTATAATTCTTGCACGGATATCTTCCCTATATGTTGGCCCATCCTTATAAACTTTTAAACTTTATTTTTCAATGTTTCCCATGAATAAAAAATCCAGTGGAGTTAGATCTGCGGATCGTGATGGCCATACTACGAGAGGGCTATTAAGGCCCCATCCATTTCGTCGTAGCATTAGCCAGATGAGTAGATGTTTTCTGATAGGCATTTGCCTGAAAAAACAGTTAACGATACTTACACTAGCATATGCAATGAAGAACATCTCATCATCACTGAAATTTTCAAATCCAGGTAACTTTGGTTCTTTTGGAGATGTTTCTTGAAAACTTTTGTAAGCAGAAAATGCTTGATTGAGACCTCCATTATCTGCTACATTTTCACTTAGAGTCCGTTCTCCATCTACCTATAAGACAATTCTCTTTTTGATAACATAACTATATACTTTTGTGAAAATACAATACAGTGTTTTTGAAAATTAACCATCAATGATAACTTCATAATCAATTAAACATATCCAGAAGAATTTAAAGATACTAAGAGCATGTTTTTTAGAGACATAGTTTTTCATATGGGGCTTACCCTTGGTTTCACCCCTTCAACTGTGAAATTATTAAATTGTTCAACGAAGCATTCTACCAAGTCTGTGAACGCTTCTATTGTGCTGTTGCTCCACCATTGTCTATAATTTCCATATTTATCTCGTTGTCTTCCTGGAATATAAAACATTACTTTTATGTAACAAATACATCGACTTTCAATATTCAGATGATGTCTTTTCAAATAGTAAACCCTCCTCATAAACCTTTGGAATGAAACTGAAGGAAAATTCAATAAATATTTGAAGAAAATTTCAAATTGTAACATTTTTTTCATTGCTGTTTATAACTACGGTCACTAATCTAGCATCAGGTACCATAAAAGGCACTCGACTTTCTGGTCGGGAGCCGAGCACACTACTACTGCTCCAATTCATCACACATCTATATTACAATGGAAATTGAAAGAATTGAATTGATTTTTAATATTCGAAGGAAATTCGATACTACTCACCGCGGTTGTCAAAGCCATGCGTAAGTTCATGTCCTAAAGTTGTTACCAGTGCACCATAGTTCAGAACCCTGAAAAGTTTTCAGGCATTTTTTCAAATATCATTAAATACCTTATACTAAAACTTACTCCAGTCCCAAATCATACATTGGAAATGTCAAAAGTCCCATTGGTATATCTGAAAATGTAAACTAGTTGGTAACATATGAAAATATGAGGTCCATCAGCTATTCAGTAATGAGACTGCGCGCCTAGAGAGCGCCCTAGAGGGGTTGGCAAAAAAGGTGTAGTGCGTTGGGTATCTGGAGATCTTCTCTATTCACGTGCGAAAACACGTTTTCATCACTATTTGGTTTGAAACGAACGTGTTTTTTCTCGTGCCAATAACCATGTGTGACGAAAAACAGTAGCAACGTATTAAGCTCTTGCGTCAACGGGTCTGCTCAGATTTCCTTGAAAAGCTAGAAAAAGATCCCGGACTGATGAAAAACATTATTACTTGTGACGAAACGTGAATTTTTCAATACGATGTTGGAACAAAGCGGCAATCGATGCCTTGGAAGACGCCTGAATCGTCCATAATCGAAGAAGCAAGAATGCCGAAATTAAAATTCAAGGCAATATTGATCTTTTTTTTTTTTCAACATGAACGGTATCATTATGACTGAATCGGTTCCACAGACTGTCAACCAGACTTACTATTTATCAGTTTTGGCAACACTGCGACAACGAGTTGGTAAGAAACGGTCCGAGTTGTGGAAGAACAACTAGGACAACGGACCTGCCCATAACGCGCTATCTGTGAAGCGGTATTTGGTCGATAAACGAACTCCAGTGCTCGGACACGCGTCATACTCGCCAGATTTGGCACCTTGCTACTTTTTTTTGTTTCCGAAGATAAAATCTACTTTCAAAGAGACCCGATTTGAGTCGATGGAAGCGGTAAAGCAAAACGGCAGAGCTCCTAAAGGCCCTCAACAAAGAAGACTTCCAGCACTGCTTCGATCAATGAAAAAAACGTATGGAAAGGTGTTTGGCGAAGGGAGGGGTGTTTATTGAAGGGTTGCATTCGAATGTAGAATAATTTTTATAATAAAACCCTTTTTCGTAACCAGTCTCGTTAATAGCCGGACCTCATAGTTCAAATTGAAATGGGTTTATTTTAAGGAGACATTAATTTCTACATCTTTATACAAACAATGTGGGAATCTTTCAAAGAAAAGAAGGAAGAATTCAATTCAAGAAAAATCTATACAAAGATGTGTAGATCATGCAAAGAAGTAACTTTTAAGTAGCTGTTTCGAGAGGGGTTTTTCCTGTTTGTTCTGAAAGTTATTTCTTTGCATGACTTACACATCTTTGTTCAGAGTTAATTTTTTGAAATTGATTGATTCCTTCCTTTCTTGGAAGATTCCCCAAATGGAAACTGAAAAATATCAATTTTCAGTTCCATTCAAAGTATAGTTAGTGAAAGGTTGCAGCAATAATCAATATTGATGATTTGATAAAAACAACTAATGAAATCAATGTGAAACTCCCTCCCTGTATCAACGCTATTTTCCGGTTTTTTGGCCATGGTCTGCAGCTTTTATGCCTGACGTTTCGTCTACAACTGCGGTAGATATTATCAAAGACGATGAGGTAATGGTAGAAGTGCTCCAATAGTTCTCAACGCGTGTCTTCGTTTCTCTTAATTGGAAAGTTCGTGTACAATTAACGAAGGGTGGCCAAATTTTATTAATATTCTTCGCTTCGTCCTCTCTATTGAAATTATTCCTGTGTTTCTGTATTTCTATTGCCTCTCTATATAATCTGGGCTAGTAATTTAGAGTTTAATCGAGTACTTCTCTCTTCGCTACAGCTACAGCCGATTTGTCGGTTTGTCCAAGGCGACAATTTCTATTGTGTACGGGTACATATACTTCTACTCGTGTTTCCAACGTAGACGGACCCAAGCTACAAAGAATCCGACATACCCCTGGGTGTTGCTAAAAGCTCTCTGGGGTACTTAGCTGACCTTGGAGTTTCTCTGATGGTTCTCTTTTTCGTTAATATTCGTTTCACGTCGTAGTTCTCTATAATTCTCCCTATCCAGACTGTAACATTTTTAACATAGGGAAGGAAAGCTTTTTCCTCAACAGGTCTGGCAGTACCATTGTGAATTGGATTTTTGGGTCTCTTCGCCATCTTGCCATACCATGATCATGTCGTCAACATAACGCAGCTAACAATATGGTTTCACGGTCGCTCAATATACTTTATAGACTGTCCATTGCGGTACCATCCATGTATTCGTAAAAAAACACCATCCTACTAGAAATAAGTTGATGATAAACAATGGGTGAAGAGGGCGGTTATATCTGCTGGAAATACTTCGCCAATTAACCGTATCGTGTCCTCGATCGGAACCACGTCGAAGCTTACTAATGTGTCTCCAGGTCCCAACTTCATAACTCTTATCTTTTCAATGAACCTTCCCGAGATTTTAATAAATGATTTTGTCTTTTCTATGAACGGCTGCAGTAGGGTTGTCACGTATTTGGCCAATTCATAAGTTGGTAAACTAAGTGGCACATTCTCTTCATGAACTCTTGGTTAGCCATATAGACGTGGCTTTGGATTTTTGTAGGATCTTCTTCTTGTTTTCTCTAACACTTGATGAATGTCTAAGAAGATTAGTTTTTCTCAAAATCTCGGTGGTAGATTACCAACTGAGTCTTTTATATGTTCCTGGATCGAGTAAGGCGAAAATGTTCTCATCATAATAGTTGGTTTTCATCAAAACAGTGGCATTTTTTTATAGTTGGTTTTCATCAAAACAGTGGCATTTCTTTTAGCAGCAAGCAATACCAAGGTATTCCTATCAGTATTGATATCAGTATTGATAGGAATACCTTGGAATTCCTATCAATACTGATACTGATAGAAATACCAAGACCAAGACCTTGGATGGTCTTTCGCGCATTAGAATCTTTTGAGGTTTGCATGCGGATTTCCTCAGCAATGTCTATAGGTAAAGTAAGAATACCTCATTCGACATTCTCAATGATATCCTCGTGGGGTACCTTGGCTGGAGCTATAACAAAGTTTCCACCTTTGGCGAGTATTCCGAACTCGCCTTCTGTGTCCAATTGGTGGCTAACCAAAAATCCATAAAAAGATTGTGGAACTTGGCTTATCGTGAATGCGATAGGTTCGCCAACTCATGAGCTGGCCATATATTGACAAATCAGCTGTAGCCGAACATGTTCTTAAAGAAGGCACTTACATTATCTCATTCGAAGATACAGAAATACTCGATTGAACTCAAAATTACTATCCAAGAACATATAGAAAAGCAATAGAAATTCAGTAGCACAGGAATACTTTCAATAGAAAGAAAGAGACAATGAACATTAATAAGGCTACCTGTCCTCGGAAAATAGCTTTGACACAGTTATCTTCGGTCATGAAAGTTTACATCTTTTGTAAGTGAATAGTTAGTAGGTAGGTGCTTTCAAAGTGAGTGCAACCCGAGTGGGTTTATTGTGGCTCACACTTATTAGAGCCAAACCAAAAAATCTAGCCTTTTAATGAAGATCCATTGGAGATTGAATGACTGACCCGAGTGGGACTTTGCCGGGTGCTGCAAACGTAATTCGGTCCACAAAGTCTGTGCTCCGCTTTCAGGACAAATCGTGGTATATTTTTCCAATATAGTAAGAACCTGATCGGTGGTGGGTCTGCTCTCTTTATCAGGTAGGTAAGAAACACATGTTATGTCGAGCTTTGGAAGTAGATCTCTTGTAATGCATTTGAGGGAGACGCTCTCCTATGGCTGTAGGGTACCAACTTCACCCACCAACCTGAAGACTCTCTTTTGATCCTCTCAGATAACCTATATCTGTGGACCCTGATTAATCACCTCAACAATAATGGATTCTACAGAATTGCATATGCAGATGATATAGTTATCTTGCAGACCGGCCAATTTGTGAACACATTGTTCGATAGAGCACAGGATGGGCTCAAATTAATAGAAACATGATGTAAGGAACACCCACTTTCGATCAATACCAAGAAGAATGAGATGGGCCTTTTCACCAGGGAAATAAGTTTATTGGGCTTAAAACCTCCCGAAATCTTCAAAAGCAAACTAAACCTCTCTGAAGAGGTGAAATACTTTGGTACTGCCCTCGACAGGAAGATAACATGGAACTCTCACCTACAGAGTAGAGCAAATGGAGCATATGTGGCTTATGAGCAATGTCGGAGGACAGTGGGACGCGCATGGGGTCTTTCACCCCGTGTGGTCATTTGGATCTACACTGCAATAATAAGACCTATGTTAACGTACGGAGCCATTGCATGGGGACCGAAAGTTCTACAAGCAACGGTCATCCAAAAATTATATCAAATACAGGGAGTGGCCCCTCTGGATCTGTACGTTAAGGAGGTTGCGTTAATGGCCATGTTACGAATGCGCACGGCTGGTGTAAACCTCGAAGTAGGAATGGGTCAATTAAGGCTGAGCCTAAGGCGAAAAGCGCTTACTGCGCAATCTCTACTGCAGGCAGCCAGTCATGCTATTGAACCCAGGTTGTGTTTAATAAACCCTACAAAATACAAATAAAACAGAACACAGAGTCAGATGCTATAAATGCAATACGCATACATACAGACGGCTCAAAAACCAAAGAAGCCCCAGGATGTGGAGTGTACTCCAGATCACTAAGTCTAAGGATTGAGTGGGGAATGGGAAAAAATACCAGCGTGGTTCAAACAGAACTGGCTGGTATCTCAATCGCCACAAAAGAAATAACCAAGGAAAAAATTTCTGGCAAAAACATAACAATCTGCACTGATAGTAAACAAGCACTATTAGCCTTGAACATAGAACGGCTGGTACTAAAGTGCCACCAAGATTTAGCGAAAACCTCGGTAGATAATAACATTATCCTGAGATGGGTTAAAGGGCACGACAGGAGTAAAGGTAATCGCATTGCCGACTTCTTAGCCAAGGAAGCCGCTGGACTAAGAATTTTGGGACTCAGTGACACCTACGGCCTGAAGACTTCGACAACTGCGGAACTACCCAAACGTCACACCCATAATGCTCAATAACTTAAGAGATGGGATGGAATCATAGGATCCAATCTTGCCAGGATCACCCTGGGCTACCCTGGGAAGATGGCACCGAAGAAATATCTGGCGACGACCAGGAAAAATCTACGCTTAACAGTAGGATTTCTGACTGGCCACTGTCAACTAATGAAACACCTCCATAATATGGGGCTAGTGTACACACCTCTATGCAGGATGTGTGAACAGGAAGATGAAACTGTCAGGCATGTCCTATGGGAGTGTCCGGAGTGTCATGAATAAGAGAGTGTGTGGTCGGCGAATATTGACCTACACCTGCCGATATAAAGGAGATGTTTCCTAGTGACCTGTAAACCTTCCTGGAAAGGACAGGATGGACGATGGCCTATGAGGACAACTTCTCGGAAGAATGTCCAATGGGTCACATGTGGCCTAAGTGCTGCAGGCCTACACTCAACCTCCCTACTCTACAGATACAGATATGTGGACCATTTTCTGGAATATCCTCTACAGCAGCAATAATGGCACAGTTGATTAATCGATATTGGAGTTGTGTCGAAGCTATTTTTCTGTTTTTCAAGCCGTGGTATGCAGGTTTTATGCCTAACGTTTCGTCTACTACAGCGGTAGCTATTATCAAAGGCGATGGGGTAATGGTCGAAGTGCTCAAGTTGTTCTCAATGCAGATCTGTAATGTTGGAAATTGCGGTTTCATGGAGAGCACACAGTGAGGAGACACAATGAACTACATAGTGATAGTCTTCGGCATTTGCCCGGCTAAGATTCCTGCCTTAGTTCGACTTGCTAATATGATCCTAAGGTTCGAGAGTGGGAAGGGTATTATTTGAATAAGGACACCAATAATCAGATCAACTTTTTCAACTGGGTAGACTGGTTAGAATCTCTGGAGTTCGAGAGAAAGAACTCGATATTCCATCTGTTTTTCTCCTCATATCCCGAGCTGATAACTCGAAGGATATCATTTTACTTTGATAGTCGAGGTTATAATTCAGTATATAATGCACGTTATGGGACAGATATATTTGTGTTGAGATTACCAAAAACTTTATTATTGGCCTAATTTCTTTCATCTCAATTGACCTAACTTTATGTTTGGGTAGTTTATATTTCATCAATTATGTACCTAAACGAAGTATCTCTAATAAGAACAAACCTACCCATGGCATTGTCCTTAGCTGAATAGAAAGCGTTAGCAGAAATGGGTTCACTCTCATCGAAAGCGTCGTTATACCAACTTCTTTTGTGTGTTTTGTTGAACGAATTCAATATATCCAAATTGTAATGTGATATTCTGTTAACCAAATTTTCCAAATACGTATATGTTAGGATTTCAAGCTGGAACAGAAATTGAAGGTTTCTAAAAATGTGGAATATTGTCAGAGGAAACAGATACTGTGAACTACCAACTCACTCCATCATAATATTTGTCCAATGCTCCTTTCTCGAAAAGCCAGTCTGGATATCCAAGAAAACTTATCATCTCTCTGCTCTTCTGCAATGTTACTTTCTTCGTAGCATTATCCATCCAATCCAAATTAGTAACATGATTCTCAAAAGCTGTTTTCAATCTTTTGAGCATTCGACCAACCTACAAGTATGAAATACTGAAATTGGGATAACAATTTGAAATGATATCTGATTTCCGTGAAGATCCGCTTCAGGAGGTGGCAATTTTTATGGCTTATACTGAAGTTTTATCCCAACCAAGCCGTTATTTTTAACACCTTGACACATGTTTCAATCACCAAGTGATCATCTTCAAGAGGAAGATTAAACTGATGATCTTTATGACATCAGCGTCACCATGATATATACAATACACATTCATTCGAATGTCAACACCATAAAATTGAGTTAAACTCATATATGAAACATTCATATAAGGTTGAGGGCACTAAAATAGCGACGGCCGAGCGATAACGAAGCGACGCAACGGTGGAACGGTGGCGATGCATACAACAACATCTACGGTATAGGTGACGCGTACGAAACGAGCCGTGGTGGGGCGGAGCGATCGAGCGATGCACGGGCGGAAGGAGAGCGACTGCGGCGAGGTAGCGACGTGAACAAACTAGTGTGATTAGGTCGCTCGCGATTACAGTAGTGTTGCGTAGAAAAAGATTATAATACCAAATGGAAATTGATAATAAAGAATTTATCTCGTGTATTTTGTCAAAATCTGCGCAATGGGACAGTAAAAATATTCATCTTAGCTCGTAATAAAGGATGGAAGATTAGCCAAAATTACTTCTTCCTTCATTTATTGAATGAACACCATCTCTAGGTAATAATAACTTATATTCTCATTGGTAGACTTAGCTCCAATAGTTCTTTTCGACGTGAACCTGTGTTGCAATGGAGTGACATATTCCTCACACATCTTCTCCAGCACGACCGACCACACAAGATACATCTGCTCATCGCCCTGCTCCGCGCCGCCACTTGGTTGCCATCACTCGGCCGTCGCTATTTTCGTGCCTCAGCCTAAGAGAAAGGTTTATTAACAAGTAAAAGCACCGTTTCGTGAACAAAGCCATACACGGGGAGAAAACATATCATGTATCTACCAATATCTCTCCTCGATACATACAAAGATACAGTGGATAGTCTATATACAAAGATACAGTCGTCAGACTCATATAAAAGAGCGACTAGTGAGCAAGTGAAAGAGGTGACGGTGATTATGAAGTTCAGCCGTTCAATTTTGAAGCATTTAATGAAATTATATGAAATTCCTAAATTTGAAAAACAGTGTCACACATTCATTTTTTCAGAACCCACACATAGATAGACGTAACGTTGTCCATAGCGATAGCTCGAAATAAGATGTGAACGAAAATCGAAATAATACATACTAAGAAAATTATAATCTTGTTTATGAGACTTAACGCATGAAATTTAATTTTTTCTAATGAAATGTTTCTCACAATTTAGAAATTTTGAAAACTTTTGAGTTTCTTCACAATATCATCGAGACCTGCTTCCCAAATAATGCACACTTACTTTCAGTTTCGTTGTATTGGGATAAAGTTCCTCAGCCAGAGCATACGTGATTGCGTATCCCATATACTTTTTTGCTATACTTATACATTGCTCTTCAGACCTGAAATAATACGCCTGTTAGAAACATAAACATGATAATAATATGATGATGGAGAATATGCTAGTTGTTTGGATCTATACCTAACAGCCAATCCAGATGTTTATAGTCACCGTAAGGTCTCCATTGGGATCTTCTGGCCACAAACTCATTTTAGTGTTGAGTGAATTACCGATAGATGTTGGAGAACAATCTAAGCCGCGCAAAAAACACAATTCTAGCACTAACATAAGTGAATGGTTCAATTGTAACAACAGCCATAGAAAGATCAAATCTATCAGCTAAACAATTTGCGCCCCACTTCTCAGTCGATTTTCTGGAAAAGGCACCATCCACTATTTCCACACTAGAATCCATAATGCCGGAAATTACTTTTCGAAAACGTCTAGTCAGGCTAATTATGAAACAGCTTGATATCAACAAGGCGTCTTGTTCTGATGAAGTGCCCGCCATCGTCCTTAAAAAGTGCGCCAGTATTTTGCAGGTTTTTCAAGTCTTAGGTACAGACTTTTCAAGATGTCTTGGAAGAAAGGGGTTTTTCCTTCTTGTTGGAAGATTGCTCGCGTTCAGCCTATTCCCAGAAAGGGCAAGAAAAGTCTTCCAAATAACTATAGACCAGTCGATTTGTTATCATTAATATCAAAAATCATAGAGAAAGCCGTAAACCACCATATCCTCAAATATTTGGAAGGCTTTAACATCTTGAGCGATCATCAATATGGCTTTCGACCTTCTATCGTATGCCACCCATATTTGGAATAACACAATCGAGAAACATGGAGAGTCAAGAGCTCTTGCGCTTGATATTTCTAAAGCCTTTGACCGTGTGCAGCATGAGGGTTTGCTGGCTAAACTTGTTGGATAATTTTTGTGAATGGTTTTCCAGCTTCCTGAAAGAACGTTCCCTGCAAGTGACAGTCGATGGATATCTCTCGAATACTTTTACCATCAACGCTGGTGTTCCCCAGGGATCTATATTGTCTCCAACCCTCGTTTTATTGTATATCAACGACTTATTGGAAAAAACCAAGAATCCAATCTATTGCTTTGCTGACGACAGCACACTTGTCTCGTCATTCCATTCGGATTCCAGAACATCGGCTGCGGATGCACATCTTTACCGGCAGCAGGATGATGCATATCTTAATGAGGATCTAGAAGTGATTTCGAATTGGGGTGAAAGTAACCTGGTTCAATTCATTGCCACGAAAACCCAGGCATCGGTTTTCTCCAAAAAGATAAATGTCTCCGAACCGGATATAATAATGTCAGGACAGACAATTCCGCTTTCTGCTTCGATAAGTTTGTTGGGGGTTAAAATGGACACCAATATGTCTTGGCACAATCATGTCGCTGAAATTGCATTGACTGCTTCTCAAAATCTTGGAACACTGTAGACACCTAAGCAACTTTTGATGCTTTATAAAGCTCAGATCAGACTATCTTTGGAGTATTGTTCATATGCATGGAGCTCCGTCCCTAAGCATACCCTGAAGCTGCTGGATTTCATCCAGAAAAGAGCCATCCGTCTAATTGGAGACGCGAACATCACTTGTAGCCTTGATAGTCTGGAACATCGAAGAAAGGTTGAAGATTTGTTTCTCTTTTATAGAAACTTCCACCTGGCACATTTGATCCCACCATGAGCGGTAGAGATCAGAAATACGCGACGAACTGTGCCTGTTCAACGTTTTGAGGTTCAACTCAGTACACCCCGAACTTCACTGTTTGAGAACTCCTTCATCTGGAGAACTACCTTTATGTGGAATAAACTTCCTGAGAACGTTTTTCTAAATGACTTTAATCTCCAGCGATTCAAATCCAACATGAATCGCTACTTTTGTACAGACACCGCTCTTAGAGTATCTTAAGGATTTTCTTGAAGTGCTCGTATTTTGTCCTTGAAAAAATTGGACTGCAGTGAACCAAAACCTGTGAAAACCGGTGGAGTAGTGGGAATTTTGATGCGTGAAAATTATAAATTTAACTGAGGGGATAATTAAATGACATATTTTTCAATTTTTCACCTTTCACATATAATTATAATGATGAACAAATTTCTTCGTAATTTCAACATTAACCCTTTCAAAACAAAATAAAATTAATTTGTTTAAACATTGATAAATATCAGATTATAGAATTAATTTTTATGAAATGAAATTCAGGGTTAATTTTTTTTTCAAAATTTCGTATAATTCTTCCATAGCAGTATCCAAATTTGAAAAAACTTACCCTGTATACGTTTCATAACTGTCATTAGTTTCTTTCGTCACATAATATATAATATCTGAGGAGGTACTCAAAATCATCTTCTCAACTGTTACCCACCACATATACAGTTCTATATTGATGTCGGGAGTAGTTGAAAGATACTCCAACACCAAGTTCAAATACTCAAAATCTCCTGTGGTGGTGTACACCGATACGTTTTTCGGACGAATCTTAATGTGACTTCCACTGAACAAGTATTTGATGTATTTCGGCCAAAAATTCGGCAACGAAGTTGATAAATAGTCATCCGTTTGTGACTGTAGATATTCCAAGGTTATGGAATAGGAGTCTTCTTCACCTGTGAGGGTATAATTCAAGTAAATCTAAAAAAACAAAACAATATGACACCAGAGTTTGTTAAACAAGAATTATATCGACCAGCAAACCTCTTCTAGAAAGCTTTCAATTTCCTTTATGGCATTCACTGCATTCTCTAAGACTGAATCACTAGGTATTGTACCTGTTTTGTTCATTGTTACTTGAGTTAAAATATATTTGATAATGTTCGTCTTCACAATATATCTGAAAATCTCCGTGTTCATAAGGATATGATTATATAATCATTATTGAAGACAAGAAAGTCCGGGCTGCTAGTCCGTGAATGAGTGGAATATGAAGTAGCAACCGTTACGTTTGCTACTGCGTACGTACGTATCAGCGTAGACTGTGGGGACGAAAGTTACATATCGAAGTCTCAATAATGACTTAGTGGCCAGCTCTGCCTTCACTCGTATTTTATAATTTGAGAGGGTGGTGGGGATGATGAAAACACCACCAATCAGGAGTGAGAATTCGCATGGATAGTTAGTCATCACTCCCACCACCCTCTAAAATTATAAAAACAATTAAACGCAACAATTAAAAAAATTAAACAATTAGTTCTTCCAGACAACTTGTCTGGGAGAACTAAATACCGAAGACACATCTGCATGGAGAATGCAGAAAACTCTTAGGAAGGGACCTCGAAAGCCATGCCAATACAAGGCGAGCAAGTAATCGTCTAAAAGGACCAAGAGAAAGCGGAAGCATTTGCGGACAATTTCGAAAGGCAGTGCAGAGAAAACGACGTCCCGTTCACGGATGAAGTAGAAGAAATAGAGACACAGGCGGATACGAAGGTACGTAGACTGAGAAGACAAAGAAGGGACAACGCTCAACCCCTGGCAACAACATCTCCCGAGCAAGTGAAAGATATCGTAAGACGTCTAGCTAATCGAAAAGCCCCAGGTCCACACCAAATAACAAACCGGACTCTGAAATTCCTACCACTAAAGGGTATAGCAGCTATAATGAACATCATTAATGCTATACTCAGACTGCAGCATTTCCCTTACCCGTTTAAGGATGCGACGGTCATCTATATTCCGATATCCTGGGTAACCAATCCTGAAAAGATTAGAGGACAAAACTAACAAACTAGGATCCTACCACACGAACAGTTCGACCACATGAACACTCGAGTTGCAAGTCCTGAGGGTACTAGACTTTGCCACAGGAGGCTTCAACCTCGGCAGAGGATACAACACCGGAGCGATTTTCACAGACGTCTCCAAGGCGTTTGACAGAGTATGGCATGATGAATTTTGGCTACACGAAACCAATGGTAAGATTAATCAAGTCTCTTCTGACAGGCGATACCGCTGCATAATAGGACAAGAACTCTCAACGATGCGATTACTGGAAGCAGGGGTCCCACAAGGTGCAGTTTTATCGCCACACCTCTTCTCGGTATACGCAGCAGACATGCCCAAGCCGGAGAACAACTTCAACAAGTTGGCACTCTACGCGGACGAAACAGCTCTGCTGGCGAGATCAACAAGCCAAGCGCACGTCATTAGATACTTGCAGCAACAGGCAGATAGATTAGAGGAATGGGCCAACCTGCGGAAAATTAGTATAAACCCTGACAAGGGTCAGGAAATACTGATCACCCCGAGGATGGTACTCCCGGAAGGAAACGGCATCTTCAACGGACAAGAGATTCCGGGAACCAATGAAGCTATATCTTGGGGGTCACCCTAGACAAAAGATTAATGTTCAGGTCGCAACATGGGACTGAAAGTGAAGCTGCTGATGATAAAGACTGTAATACTACCGAAAATCTTGTATGCCTGCACTGCTTGGGGCCAGTGCGCAGAAAACAGATCCAATATTTTATGAACCCGTGCGTAAGGGCCGCCGTAAACGCTCCAAGATATGAACCGAATAGGTACATATTCCGGGATCTAGACCTAAACATACACTACGTAGACGCATACCTGAGGAAACACGCAGAAGACACGTTTAACAGAATTCGAACGCACGACAATCCAGCGCTAAACGACCTACATAACGCACTGAATGGGGATTACCCCAGATTTCGAGAGAGGGACAAACACAGGAGGCCAACGAAGCAGAACAAAAGACCACCCCCGAGAGTCGCTGTCAGGCGGCTCCGGTAAGTATAAGCATTTTTTAACAAGACTTCAAATTGAACTAATTTTCAGATTCATTGAGAAACAACACTTGCTCGCGACTAAAAAGACACTAGTCTCCGGTCAGTTTTTGGAGACCCCATGCAATAATTCAGTTAGGAAAGTCACGATAAAACAATTCAACAGATCAGAAAGTAAAAGCACCTAGAGGCTGACTTTCGACCAAAGAAGGTCAGATGTCAATCTTGCTGTAGTGCCCATCAGTAAGTTGAGGACCGCTCCGAAGGAGCGGAGGTGGATGGACGAGATGGGATCTTCTGCACACATTAACCCTGTGTAGAAGATTTCAACTCAGGGCACTCAACCCGGGAGGGGGCATGGAGGGGACTTACCGGTTAGTCTTAGTCGAGACTTCGAAGATATAACCTTTTCCCTCGCAGTCAGCGCACATACCACTAATGATATCGATATCATTTATAAAAATACACGTTCGAAGTGTAGAGCAACCTATTTTTATGTGAAATTATACTCATGCAATAGATGCACATGTTCATGCACTACAGATATTTCTTTTGTCCCTCCTCTGGTTCTCCATTCTAGTGAAATATTATTCATATTTCTCTTCAACTCCTTGTAGTTGCGCAAGGCTCCAACTCCTTCCGAACAGCACTAACAGTGAAATATATTTTCAACGTTGAAAGAGAAATCCGCAGATTTGTAAGGTTTGACAACAGTCAATGGTTCACTTGATTTTTTAGATTGAAAAGTTTAGTTGAACTATTAGGTTGTTTCAAAAGTTTTGTTCGTTTTAATGTCACGTGTGATGAAAAATGAATCCTCTACGACAACGAGAAAAGACCATGGTTACTGTATGGTTGTCAGCGGCTGGTTTGAAACACTTTAGAAGAGGTCCGATCCTGCTCCACGATAACACCCGTCTGCTCATTTCACAAATCACCGTCCGAAGTTCAAACGAATTGTGCGTCGAAGTTATGCCTCGCCCATCATATTCCCCAGACCTGTTGTCAATCGACTACCATCTTTTTAAGCATTTCGATAATTTTCTCACCTGTAGAACCTTCGCCAATCAGGACCAAGCAAAAATGGTCTTTGTCGACTCCATCGAATCCCGAGCATATAATTTTCATGCTGATGGAAATAATCAACTTGTGTTACATTGAAAAAGTGCACTGATTCAAATTGCGCTCATCTCGATTAAATTGAATAAATATTATATTACTGTTGAAAGTAGACTCATGCAAAAGGACAAAACTTTTGAAATTTCTCAATATATTTCTGTTGCCTGAACAGTCTATTTATGAATGTTCGTTAATGATTTACAATGATATATTTCCCGTTCTATCGATGTAATGAATCGATGCCATTTGAAAGAATTTTCTGGAAATTTTGGGCTGGAAAATTCTGCGATGCACCTTCTCAATTTTCTAAATTCTCTGTAGTACTCAAAAGAATAGCTTCTGAGGTATTTTTGATATTCTGAATTCTTGTCTTTATTCCAAGACTAACTAACATTTTCGATCAACTCTTTATCCATGTGTAACGCCTTTATTGATTTTATGTCAACTGCTCATATATACCAATTATCGAGAAAGATAAAGGAAGAGTGAAAGAGGAAAAGCTCTAAATTTCAGTTATTTTCAATGTTTCTCAGTTGGTCCGTGCAGGAGTTCTGTATATCCCGAAACACTAGTCGTTAATGACTTAAATACCAGTCTTATATAATGGTTACACCAGTTTGACAGTCTTTCTTTGACAAAACATTTACATTGTACCACAGAATTGAATAATTTTCTAACAGTACTTGAAGAGGACTAGAGAAGGCAAAACATATGAATAACATTGTTATATGACTACGGCATATCAGCCCCAAGAGAAGTGGAGGAACAAAAATTATGCTTAAAGTGATTGCATGATATTTTACATTGGAACCTACCCATATCTGTACAAGACCAATATAAAGATCTACTTTTCTGCAAGGCTCGGGGTTCTCCCAAGTTGTATTCCTCCATGAGAATCTTTTTGGTAGCTACAGCAATTTTATCATCTATTGAATCGTAAGCATCATAAGTTGGATCCAGTCTGATGTTGGGGTGGACGTCTGACCATTTTCCACAAGCATATTTGTAGAAATCATCGCAAGGATCAACTTCAGGATCCATTGAGAGCTTAAGATTTGCTGCAGCTCGAAGACATTCATTGGATGTACAAAGTTTAAGGTGACATTCTGAAATTTAAAGGAATTTATATGTAGTAAAAACCTGAATTATTCGACAATTTTTATGAGTAACATATGTAGTAACATATGAGTTATAGTTTTGAAAGAATTTTAGAAAAAAACATTGCTTCGTAATGAATATTACTAGAGTTTTATCCCAACATCTAATCATTATTTTAAGAACTCGACACGTGTTTAGATCACCAAGTGGTCATCTTCAACAGAAAGATTAAAACTAGTAGTTTTGGTTTGGCCAATATGAAGTTTTGGGGAAGAACCACAAATCAACTCATTTGATTTGAAGTTTTGCCTTTATTGTTTTAATTGAATTTGCCTTAGTTATCATTTGATCTGTAGGCCACGTCCAAGCATTTCTTATTAAAAAACGAGCCATGTTATTGTGGGTTCACCAAAGTATGTGGATGTGTGCAGAAGGAAGAATCTCCATACCATTCACTCCAGGTAGTATCTGAACTGTCCTCAACCTGCTGCTTGGCACTTCGACGAGAATAAAATTCAACTTCTTTCGGTTCGCAGTCAACCAGTTATTTGATTGAGGGAAGTAGAATTATTTTGATTAGAAGCAATTCAATAATGGGGTTGATATTGTGTCGAGAGACCAGCTCCAGGTTCTGTATGATAATGTTAATGTGCCCTCAAGTGTCTTGCTTCGTTCGTCCTAGAAATCTCTTCCAAGGATTAGCTCTCTCGTTTGATATGCCCGACTGTTGCTGCAGGTATCCTGTGATTTTCGGCTGTCAAGTAGTCTGCATGAAGAGCCAACTTGTTGAAGTTGTTTGTCGTCCGGATTAGGCCTGTTGGCCGAGAAGAGGTGTTGAGAAAGAACTTTGTCTTGAGGGATTTCTGTCTTTACTTTATATCTCATTTGTTTATCAAAGAAATATAATGGGTTTTCACTCATATGATCAAAACTATTCCAAATTCCAAACTCAATGCCCCATCAAACACATTCTGGCAATGATAAAATTAAAAGAAAAAGGAAATTTGGAGAAACATGTCCATGCCAAACCCAAGAAAAAGTGAAAGGAAAACTAAAGGAATTTCCCCCGAAAGATACAGTGACGTAGGTGATAAACCACAAACAATGCCAATTCCTCAAAACCATCATTTGAATACCAACAAAAGTTCACGTTCACGAGCTGTTTCCAAAGGGACTGGATCATCAAGTTCTAGGCGAAGAATACTTGAAATAGAACTGGAGGAAGCAAGAAAGTTCGCTGAAGTGGAGAAAAGGCGAGCTGAAATAGAAAGAAAGCAAGCTGATAGAGATGCAGGAAGGGTCGTCCAAAAAGTCTACAATTTACGGTGCTGATAATGTTATCGATTTAGACCAAATGAGTGTTCAAGAAAAGATAGCAAACTGGAAAATTGAAGAAACGGGTATTAACACCGATTTGCCGACGACAAATAATTTCATTACAATGACTGCTGATAATTTCAACCAGATCTGTGATGTATTTAAGCAGAACTCCAACAAATACAAAAACAAATTTGCCCACTTTTGATGGAAATCCAGAAGATTGGCCGTTTTTTTTTAGTCAGTTCGAGCGTTCCACTAATCTTTTCAATATTTGTGAAGACGAAAATATGTGTCTGCGAAGATGCCTTAAAATGAAGAATATACTCAAAAAGGTTATATTCGAAAGCTGAGAGTTACTGAAGCTAAAAGAGAGGGCCAAAAAACTTGTTATTTACCACATTTTGGAGTGGTAAACCCCAACAAACCAGGCAAGCTGAGATTGGTATTTGATGCCGCAGCAAAGTCGAGTGGAACTAGCCTTAATGATCATCTTCTTCAAGGTCCAGACTTGTTAAAAAACCTAACAGCAATTATTTGGAAATTCCGTCAGAAGTCGATCGCCTTTTGTTCAGATATAAAGGAGATGTTCCATCAAGTAAGAATCCGAGATGACGATTGCTCAGCTCAACGCTTTTTCTGGCGAGGTATGGATCGATCAAAATATCCTGATGTTTACGAAATGAAGGCCATGACATTCGGAGCGACATCTTCTCCCTGTATGGCTCAGTTTGTGAAGAATAAAAATGCTGAAGAACATTATCACATACTTCCCCAGCTAAAGCAATCATTGAAAAACATTATGTTGACGATTACTTAGATAGTGTAGAAACTGAAGAAGAAGCCGTCAAACTCATTTTGGAAGTAATAGAAATCCATGGAAAAGCAGGAGTCAGCATTTGCAACTGGATCAGCAATTCTCAAAATGTTATTGACAAAATTCCCGAACATTTAAGATCCAGAACTCAGAAAAATTTGAATTCATTTCTTCAACAACATGCAGAAAGAGTACTAGGACTTTGGTGGAATCCTGAATCAGACAGTATTATATTTTCACTGAATAAAGGAAATATAGATTCTAAAATTCTAGAAAAAACCAAGATACCAACGAAAAGGGAAGTTCTTAAATTGGTTATGTCCGTTTTTGATCCACTAGGCTTCCTATCACCACTAGTTGTAAAATTCAAAATCTTTCCACAAGAACTCTGGAAAAAGGGAATCAGTTGGGATGATGAGATATCTGAAAATATGAATACCAAATGGATACAGTTATTGGAGAATCTCAACAACATCGAAACATGCGTGCCCAGATGTTATGGTTGTCATTTATTTGTCAGTGAAGAAGTAGAACTACATGGTTTTTGAGACAGTAGTGAGAAAGCATTAACAGCTGTCGTTTATCTACGATTTATTCACGAAAATATAATCTATACATCATTTGTAAGTGCAAAAACTCGAGTAGCACCTATAAAACAAATAACAATACCCAGACTAGAGCTACAGGCTGCTGTAATGTTAAGTAGATTTATAAATTCTGTGAAAGAAAGTTTAGAAATCAACATATCAAAAATTTACTTATGGACGGATTCCAGAATTGTACTACATTGGATTCGATCTCAGACAAAAAGATATGAAACTTTTGTAGCAGTAAGGATCGGAGAAATAACTAAGATAACAGATGTATCTAACTGGCACTGGGTTTCTGGAGAAGATAACGTGGCAGATGAAAGTACGAGAGAACTTTTCCGTGCAAATGAAAGTCGATGGCTTATTGGACCATAACTTTTGACATTTCCTAAGAATCATTGGCCGAAAGAAACTGATGAACCCCTGGAAGAAATGAAATTGGAAATGAAGAAGATTCATTAGTCGACGGGGATATCCAAGAGAAATACATTCCGACAATGGCACTAATCTACGTTCTGCTGATCGAGAATTGATAGAAGCAATAAAAAACTTTGACTCAACAAAAATTTCGGAATTTTTATGCTTTAAATCTATAATGTGGAAATTTATACCGCCATCTTCACCTCACACGGGCGGAAGTTGGGAAAGACTTGTAAGATCGGTTAAAAATGTGCTGAAAGTAACATTAAAAGAGAGACATCCCAAAGAAGAGGTACTTCAAACACTTATTGCTGAAGCTGAGAACATGGTGAACAGCAAACCACTGACTTACGTTTTGAACGATACTCTGGATCCTGAGAGCCTAACCCCCAATCATTTCCTACTTCAATGTTCTGATGGATCTGCACCACCGACAGGAGAATTTGAGATAAGCGACGCAAACTGCAGAAAACATTGGAGAGTCACCCAAGCGCTAGCGGATATGTTTTGGAGGCGATGGCAAAAAGAATATTTGGTCAACTTGAACAAAAATACGAAATGGTACTACTCTAAGAAAGAAAATATTTCCCTGGATGACATTGTAGTTGTTGTGGACGACACACTTCCCAGAAATATGTGGCCCATTGGAAAAATACAGAAGGTTTATAAAGGGAAGGACGGAAAAATTCGAGTTGTCGAAGTGAAAACCCAAACAGGAATCTATAAACGACCTGTTGCCAAAATATGCAAATTAATTGGAAAAAACGATACAAATGTTTGAAGAACAAATTCAATGCTGGAGTGATTTCATCACGACAGTATAATAATATACAATATAATTTTGAAATTGAAGATTAAAAATAGTTAAAGTTTGATTCCTGGTTTATTTGACTTTAAATCAGACGAAATCACAGTAGGACTGACCAGTCCGAACAATGATGATATCAAGTAGACAATTGTAATAAAATTCTATCATTGTCTATGAGCTGCACCTGCTATTGAAAATTTGCTCCATACTTCTCACATTTTTTCATTGTTTTCCATATTTAGTGGAAATGTCATGATTGATATACTTTGTTTTCTCTCCTATTAATTGTTTTTAAATTTTTTGCAAAATAGTTGAATTATTTTTTTTAATCAGTTCGTAAAATTAGCCGGTCGTGAATAATCAGGAAGTTTATACAATACTTCTGAGCCTCTGTTCTGTCTCTCAAAGTATGTTGAAGGTGTGAAGTGATAATTTTGAAACGATATAAACATATATAGAGCATAATTTTTTGATCAAGTTTTAACTGATGTTACTTTCAACTCCACCGGAACTTTGAGAGCTGACGCTTTAAGTTTTCATGAACTATTATTGTACTCATGAACTATCATTGTATTAGGAAATAAATATTCGAAGAATCCATTATATTGCTTTGCTGACGACTGCACACTTGTCATTCTATTTGGATTCCAGGACATAGACTACGGAGGCACATCTTCACCGGCAGCAGAAGTTTGCATATCTCAATGAGGATCTAGAAGTGATTTCGAATCGAAGGGTGATAGCAACCAGGTTCAATTCAGTGCTACAAAAACACAGGCATCGGTTTTCCATTAAGGTAAATGTCTCCGAACCGGATATAATAATGTCAGGTCAGACAATTCCGCTTTCTGCTTCGATAAGTTTGTTGGGGGTTAAAATGGACATCAATATGTCTTTGCACAATCATGTCGCTAGATTTGCAAAGGCTGCTTCTCAAAAGATTCGAACACTGTTCTGAACCAGAAAAATGTATACACCTCAGCAACTGTTGATGCTTTATAAAGCTCAGATCAGACCTTCTTTGGAGTATATTGTTCTCATGTATGGAGGTCCGCCCCTAAGCACACTCCGAAGCAGCTGGATTCCATTCAGAAAAGAGCCATCCACCTGATTGGAGACGCGAACATCACGTGCAACCTTGATAGCCTGGAACACCGAAGAAATGTTGGAGATTTGTCTCCCTTCCATAGATACTTTCACGGAAAGGGTTCAAGTGAATTGGCACATTTGATTCCACCAAGAGCGGAACATATCAGAAATACGCGACGGACTGTGGCTGCTCATCGTTTTGAGGTTCAACTTGAGGACACCTCGAACCGCATTGTTTGAGGACTCTTTCGTCTGGAGAACTCCGTTTATGTGGAATAAACTTTCTGAGAATGTTTTTCCAAATGGATTTAATCTCCAGCGATTCAAATCCAATGTGATTCGCTACTTCCGCACAGGCACCGCTTTGAGAGCGTCTTGAGGATTTTGCTGTAGTTCTTGTTTTTTTTTCCTTAAAGAAAGAATGATATTCGAAACATTCATCCCTCCCAATATTCCTGCACAGTGGTATCTGTCAAATTCCTGCCGCGAACAAATACTTCCCTGGCTAATACCATGACAAACATTGAGTTATATACGACATACTCTTGTACGCTGTCTGTTCAATAATAAAGTAAATAAAAGATGAAATACCCTTGTGCCAGCTTTTTTTACAATCCTCGAAGCAGTTCTAATATGTACTTTTTGGTATGTCCTTAACCTCTCTCAGCGACTCGGCATGATTATGATTATGGTGTTGTTTTTGGCGACAAAATTACGAACAAGCAATGACCAGTGAGCATATGTATTATCGTGATGCAAAAACCATGAATTGTTTTTTCACAATATTGGAAGTTTTTTTCGCATTGCTTCTCGCAAGCGCCGCATAACTTCAAGATAATACTCCTTATTGACCGTATGACTTTCTGGCAAGAACTCCTGATGCACTGCGCCATGGTAATCTAAGAAAACACTGAGCAAAATCTTGGCATTTGATCGACTTCGACGTGTTTTTTTTGCTCTTGGCTCTCCTGGGCTTTTTTATTGGAAAGATTGGACTTTGGTTTCGATGTCATAATCATAAACCTATTATTTGTCAGCAATAATAACCCTTTTGAGCGAATCTGGATCGCCGTTGACGTCATTCAACAATTCCTGAGCGATGTTAATGCGACTGTTTTTTTGGTAAAAAAATGCAACAATTTTGGAACTAACTACCACATGCTTCATGCCCAAAATTTACTGAAAAATTGCATGGCATGAGCCAACCGAGCAAAACACTTCATGCTTCTCATCAACAAACTTAAAACGCTAATCAGCTGAAACTCTAAACTTTGTTCGAGACGAATATACCAACATTAAATGAATCGTTTACCGAATATATCTAGCCCGTCAAATTTGAACATTCATATTATTTTTTGAATAGTCCACGTAGATGCTTACCATTTGTCCAGGAGCTACTGCTCCTGCGAGTCAGTGTAAGACAACTCTAACCGAAATAGTCAGGGACTTGAAAAATATTCTGTGAATCTAGAAACAATTCATCTTGTGAATAAAGCCCCAAGCAAGGAAGATGCATTTTATGTATCAAAACTCTTACAGAAATCCCCCGTGTCTAAAGTTTTGTTACAACGTCACTGTTGGTAAAACAGATCCTGTCTTGGACATAGGTTTTGTATGTTTGGTGGAGCGCCGATAAAATTAGTGGAGTGTCGGTTGTGGAGTGTCTTGGTTGGATCTGTCCAGCATTGACAAGTAGTAATACTCCGAAACCAGTATCTAGGTTAAAACGTCACTGCATTAATTGGTATCGTTGAACGATAACTATTATTTGTGATGTACTGTTTGGAACCACCAAAACGTTATTTTAACACCTCGACACGTGTTTCGATCACCATGTGAACATTTTCAAGAGAAAGATCAAAACTGGTTTTGTTATGATGTTATTGTTATGATCCATGATCCAATCAGTATGAATTAATGCAACGTTACCGCCCGAACTATGATAGGATTAATTTATTCATTTTAGGTTCGTTTTTAAAAGAATCCAAATATATTTTCAAAAAACCATTTCATTCCAATAACAAAGTAATATTCACAAGAAAATATTCATTATAAAACGCAAATGCATAGAATTTCCAATTATTATTCCACTCCAGAAAAACATTCTTTATTTCTACTACAACATTCATTTTTTGATTTTGAGTGCGGGTAAACAATTTATTTTTTATCATACCATATTCAATGGTGAACTGAAATATATTTCTCAATACCTTCATTTCCTTCAACATATCCCTGATTCACAAAACTCAACACTGTCACGCTCCAAATAAAACTTTCATTGAATTTCCACCGTTTCTTCCCGATAATGTTACTTTTGAAATGGAACCTGAAACAGTCGAAAAATTAACGAAAGAATAAATTGGAATTTCAGATGCAACTTACTCATTTCTGACCATTTTAGTACAGGCCGAGCACTGAACTAATTAATTTTTGTAAACGTTTGTATTTAAGCTAACCCATTTTATTACAATTTTAATTGAATAGGAACCAACACATACGATGCAGTTATCATGTGAAACTTTAAATTAGGTCCAATTCATATTTCGTCGTCTAATATTGTGCCAAAAAATGCTGTAAATTAATCAATTGTTAGAACAATTGCTGACTGAACCAGAAAAATGGTGGTCCGGTCTGACCCGGTCGTCCGGCCCAGAAGCTTGACGAAAAAGGTAAAACATCTTTAATTGTCAGCTCGCACAAATTTCGACTTCTGAGAGTTGTCGTTCGTGGGGGAGCGATAGCTGGTTGAAGGAACAAACAGATTATACCAGAATAGACTGATTAATTTTTGGGAAAGAAAGTTTTTGGCTTTCTACTACTCTATCTCGATACAAAAAAAATGAGGGAATCTTCCAAAGAAAGGAAGGAANATCACAAAAAGTCGTTGCAAGAAATGGTAATCCCCAATCTTCCAGAAAAAAGCGTTTTGATTATAGACAAAGCCCTATACCACAATGCTCAGTGTGAAGAGTGCCCAAACATTTCCTCGAGAAAAGAAGATATGAGAGAATGGTTAAGACGATGGAACATTCATTTCACGGATGATATGCCAAAAATGGATATCTATTCCATTGTTCAAATTCATAAATAACGGTTCAAGTTGTATGAGATTGATAGGATTATGGAAAATCATGAACATACTGTACTCAGATTGCCTCCTTATCATCCAGATTTGAACCCAATAGAATCAGTATGGGCATCATTGAAACAATATGTGGTTGATAAAAATGTGTACTTCAATTTCAAATCCATTGAAAGTTCAGTGACGAATTCTTCACTTCGTTTTCTTAAGAGCAGTGAAAAAAACGTTGCGAACATTCAAAACGCTTCGAAAAATTTTATGCTTTGAAGGGACTTGCTCTTGATTTCGCAATAGACAATGTTATTATGTATGTTCAAGGTGATAGTGACGATAGCACCAGTGAGGATAGTGATTACGCCCTACAAGCGATTCTGATTTGTCTGGAGTTGAACCTTTGTAATAATTTGATCATTAATTCAATTATATTTTTGTTTGGATTCATTCATCTTAATAAATATAATGTTTCCCAAGAAATTTTCATTCTGAAATTTAGTCTTCAACCCAAATAAATAACATTTTCAGAATAAGTCTTTCTACCTTTCCTTAATAAACTCAAATGCAATACAGACTGCTGAAAAACAAACTTATTCAAATTCAATTACGTAAATACCGCATTATCATTCTAAAATAATAATTGACCATCAATTGAAAAACCATCAACCCTTATTGCTACTTGCGGCGAGGACTCTCAGGCCACTCTAAAACCCAAATAGGCGCACCAAGTCGCATGGAATATTTCATTCTTTTCTATCATGTCTCTGTTCTCTGTCAGTAGTGTAAGCAAGTGGTGATATGTTACAAGTCACTTCCTAGATTTAACAAGCTGAATGTTTGAGTATATTCTGCTTTGAATCTAGTAAAATATTTGCAATCTTTTAGTTTGCTTGGTGAGCTGTTGTATAATTTTGGACCAGCGAGGCTTTCATGTTTATGAGTACTCAGTTTTTTAGTGGGAGTGTGGTATGAATGATAAACTGAAATGATAAACAAGGGCCCAAGAATGGACCCTAGGTTTACTCCTCCTGACAACCCCAAATCATCCTACATCGCATCATACATTATAACTTTTTTGAAATCTGTTTATGAGGAACAATTTCAAAAACGCAGTCACTTCATTAGATGAAATAATAAGCTGTAGTATTCTAAAAATTAATTTATAATCTATGGTATCAAACACTCTGGAATAGTCAAGAAAAACTGCTGTTGTAATTATCCAAAACTTTCAAATCCAGATTGCGATGTAGGCAGGATTTTTTTGAAATTGTGAGTACTTTCTCAGTTGACTATTCACTTCTTTTCTTACTTTTAACAAGGTATTATATTGAATGGGTGGAGATCTTTGAATCTTTTTGGGTTGGAAACCATTATGTATGCCGATGAAAATACACTATTCAATAAGCAGAAGTTCACAATAGAAGTTGAAAAAGTTGAAAAGTTTTATACTTTCGATTTGGTTAAGTAATTTCACTTCATCAGAATTTTTCGGAAGATTTTCATGTTGGTGGTTGAGAGAAAGTATGTATTTGATATACTCGTAATGATTGATCAAAGAGTGTGAACTTTCACAGCCGGAACTAACTGTGTGAAGGTTATTCGTGGTAGGCTTTTATGCCTGACCTTTCGTCTTCTACTGCGGTAAACATTATCGAAGGCGTTAAGGTAAACGTCAAAGTGTGAGCCACAATAAACCCTTGCGGGTTGCAGTGGAGGGTCGAATACACCTACTCATTTTGGACCTAACCTAACCTAACTAACCGTCAAAGTTGTTCTCAACGCAGAATTCGCAATGTTGGAATTTATCTCCGGTTTAATATCATCATTAGTAGACGTGTGCCAGATTTTACTGATATTCATTGCCTTTTCCTTTCTATTGAAATTAACCCTGTGTTTCTGAATTCCTATTGCCTCCCTCTTTCATAGCAATTCTGAGTTTTATCGAATATTTGTGTATCTTCGAATGAGATAATATGAGTGGAATTTGTAGATAGATAGATAGATAGATATTTATTTTCTTCTTCATTGCCACTATTACATGGATTAGGTAAGTCAGAAATAAATAAAATGAGATGTCAAATGTATAAGGTATATATACTAAACACATCTTCCATAGACATATTTGATATTGTGAGGAAGCAAGTTGAAATAAGAACATCATCTGTAGATTCCAGTTTTTTTAAAGAATGCGTGATTAACCATGCCCAGTCGCAAATTTTTATAATTTCTAGTGGTATACTTTGAAATATCTCCTACTTTCTCAAAGTAACTGATGTTTGTTTTGACATACATTAAGATTTTCATGAGATATATACTAGTTAAAGTAGGGATGTTGTTCCGAATGAAAGTATCTCGGCATGATTCGTTATAGAAAAGATCAAATATTACACGAATTATCCTTTTTTGTATTACAAAAGGTCTTTTCATCTCTGTGCTATTTCCCCATGACATAATGTTGTAGTTCAGAGTTGAGTGAACTAATGCATAGTATACATTTAGTAGAGATTTCATGTTCAAGGATCTCTTCAGTTGCTTAATCGCAAAGCACTGGCTACTGAGTTTTTTGCAGATAAAGTCAATGTGCCGGTCCCAGTGCATTTTGGAGTCGATGAATGTGCCCAAAAATTTTACATCTTCACACATGCTCATCGTGATATTGTTTATTAATATATTGTAGTCTGATTGGTTTTTATGCATTCCAGTGATCTCAATGCATGTTGTCTTACTAATATTGATTGAAAGTTGATTTCTTTGGCACCATTCATGAAATTCATGTATGACTGTAAGGGCCCTGTTATTTGCTTCTTCTGGCGTTTTGCCATGCACCACTATTGAGGTATCATCTGCATACATGAATGTCTCTCCCGTACTTATGTGTAAAGGCAGATCATTGACATACAAGATGAATAGTAGCGGGCCTAGGATACTTCCTTGCGGTGTACCCAGTTCTATATAACGTAATAGGTTTGCGGTTGATTTTGTGTCTGTTGATATTATTATTAACAAATTTCCAAACATCCTTTGATGTGTTGTGTGAATTTGTGAGTATTTTTTCGAAGAAACTTTGTTTTTCGTTTGTTAGTTTCAATTCTAAACTTTTCTTTTTCAATTTATATTTTTGATGGATACTATCTGACTCGGTTGCAAACTTCCTAAGCCAATTCAACTGGCGTAACTAATATTTATGCCAAATTTTTGTAGCTGCAGGTCGGTCTACATTGGAAACTCGAAAAGAAGTATAGGTACTGAACACAAGAGAAATTTTGGACTCGGGTAAACCTACAAATTAGCTGTAGATGAACATACTCTCAACAGAGAAGGCACCCACATTATATCATTCAAAGATACACAGATACTAGATAAAACTCAGAATCACTATTCAAGAATATACAGAGGGGGAATATAAATTCAGAAACACAGGGATGATTTCAATAGAAAGGAAGAAGTAATGAACATTAGTAAAATCTGGCTACCTGTCCTCGCCTGTACACAAACAAGGTCATTTATACCACACAAGAGAAAAGAGGCCACACCCACCATTGATGATATAAAACCGGAGACAAATTCCAACATTGTAGTTTCTGCCAGACCACAACCAAAAAACCCGGAAAATAGATTTGTCATAATATAATGATTATTGAAGGTATTAACATTTTCAAGTACAGTTGGAAATTCTTCCTGTTTTTGTTTGCAAATTCAAGTACTTGATAGTTTCCCAAAAGTATCCTGATTTTTTTTGGTTTTTTGATAGAAAAATACTTTCAGTTTTCACTTTAAAATCGAATTGGTTTTCTCCAAGAAGATAGATGCCTCCGAACCGGATAAAATAATGTCGGGTCAGACAATTCCGCTTTCTGCTTCAATAAGTTTATTGGGGCACAATTATATCGCTGGAGTTGCAAAGGCTGCTTCTGAAAATCTTGGAACACTGTTCCGAACAACTATACACACCTCAGCAACTTTGAATGGTTCATAAAGCTCAGATCACAACTTTTTTGGAGTATTGTTCTCATGTATGGAGTTCTGCCCTCAAACATTCCCTGAAGTTGCTGGACTCCATTCAGAAAAGAATAATCCGCCTGATTGGAGACGCGAACATCACGTGCAACCTTGATAGCCTGGAAAATCGAAGAAAGGTTGGAGATTTGCCTCTCTTCTATAGATACTTTCACCGGAGGTGTTCAAGTGACTTGGCACATTTGATTCCACTAAAAGCGGTACAATTCAGAAATACGCGACGGACTGTGGCTGCTCATCGTTTTGAGGTTCAACTCAGTACACCTCGAACTTCACTGTTTAAGAACTTTCAACTGGAGAACTGCGTTTATGTGAAATAAACTTCCTGAAAACGTTTTTCCAAATGGATTTAATCAAATCCAATTTGAATCGCTACTTTCGCACAGG